GGTTTTCTCTTTTCTTCATACATTTAGGGCATAGATCGTCTGAAATGTAGCTTCTTTTTTAAAAAACTGAGTTGGTTGGTAACGCAAAGTGGATAAGTTTGTATTTTATTTCGTCTGCCTTGTTGTTGGTGTTGTTTTTGTAGATGTTGTAAAACAATTGGGATCATTCTCTTGTTGTTGTGTCTTTCATGCTGTTTTGAAAGTAGTCTGCCCATCTGTAAAACTTGTTTGATTTATTTATGGCTATATTATTCTTCAAAATTGTGAATATATTTTTTGGTTTGAGGTCAATTAATTTGAGAGAGGATGAATTTTTTAGATATATAGTAAGGACTTTGTTGTGGTCGCGATTTTGGCTTTGAGAATTAATCAGGTGTTTCCATCTAAAAGGTAGTGAATTTATAATTTTCTTTAGAAGGCTCTGTTTGATTCCTATGAGTTGACATTCTAGGAATCCACTAACAAAAACTTTTGAGATGTCTCCTATTTTAATTACGCTGTTGTTTGTGGAGTCTGGAGTTGGTTTGAGGACTTTACGGTTGTTTCTTATGTAGGGGTTGTAAAATATAGGTTAGTTTAGTATTTCATCGATGGTTAGGCTGTTGTGTTTGTTGATCCGTCAATAGAGATGACTCCAGGTTTTGAATAATTGACGATAATATGGGGGTAGTGTTTTTAAGGATTTTGAGGAATGCGTGGTTAGAAGTACAAGATAATTTTGGTTGGCGTTGCGGTTGTTATTGAATATATGGACGGCTGTATCTTTCCATGCTCCCTTCTTGGTGTTATCAAAGTATTTGGAGATCCAACTCAGTTGTATTGAATGGAGTTTTTTCTTCACGTCAATGATGTTTAGACCGCCGTTGTGGATAGGCAGTTTGATGACCTGTTTTGGTATTTTTATTGAGTTATTGTTCCATAGGAACTTGTCAATTTTCCGTTCTATTCGTTTAATTTTTTTGCCACTCGGTAGAGGTAGGGTGAACGCAAGATGCCATAGGTTGCTTAGTAATATTTGATTGATTATAAGAGCTTTTCCTTTGATTGAGAGATTATATTTTTCCCAGATTTCGATCTTTTTATCTAATTTGTCTATGTTTCCATCCCATTGTTGGTTGATGTATTGACTAGAGTTAGAGAAAGTAATACCTAGACTTCTGAAAGTGGTGTCATGCCAAGTAAAATTTAAAAAGTTTTCTTTTATTATCAGTCTGTTTCGTCCAAGCCATAGACCTTGGCAATTGGAAATGTTCAATTTTGCACCTGTAGCACGTTTGTAAATGTTTAGAGCGACACCTAGAGCTGTTATTGAGTTGTCAGTCGATAAGAAAAAGTTAGTGTCATCCGCATATTGCTGTAGTTTGGTTTCTTTGTTATCTATTGTGATACCTTTAATATCCGGATTTCTTCTAATAAAACCTGCAAAAGATTCAGCTTGTATCACGTACAGAATCATCGAGAGGGGGCATCCTTGTCGAACTCCTCTGTGTATGTTTATTTTATTCGATAAGTAACCGTTGATTTTAAGATAAGCATTGATATCATAGTATAAAGTTTTAATTAGATTAATAAAATAGACACTAAAGCCAAATTTAAATAAACAATCATATAAAAAATTCCTGTCAACACGGTCAAAGGCTTTGATTTGGTCAATCGATATGATAGAGGCGTCTAAATTGTTTTTGTTGGCTATGTAAATGATATCTCTTGTATAAGCGAGATTTTGGTAAATTGTTCGGTGGGGGATACTTGCTGTTTGGTTTTCGTGTATGATTGTGGGGAGTATTTTTGCTAACCGGTTTGATATGATTTTAGTGAGAATTTTGTAATCTGTGTTTAAGAGAGATATCGGCCGCCAATTGGAAATATCTGTTTTGTCTCCTTTTTTAAAAAGACACGTTATGATGGCTTGCTTTTGAGTTTCTGACATCTCGTTTCTCCTGATGATATCATTTAGGACATCGACTAACATTCCACCTATACTATCGAAATTGGCTTTGTAAAATTCGATGGTTAAACCATCGTTCCCTAGGGATTTGTTATTTTTCATATTTTTAAGTGCATTTTTGACTTCAGATATTGTTATTGGTTCATCCAGAGAACGTTGTTGTTGTTTAGTTATTTTTTTAAATTCCGAATTATCTAGTATGAATTTTTGGAGCGTGATATCGTTATTAGTTTTTTTGTATAGGTTTTTGTAGAAGTGCTCAAAACATTTAGTAATATCTTTGGTGTTACTTTTATCGTTGCCGTCTTTGTCTTTTATGAGTGTTATGACTTGTTTAGAAGTTTTCGATTTTTCTAATTGGAAAAAGAATTTGCTCGACTTTTCGCCTTTCGTTCGCCATTTAACCTTTGCCCGGATTTCAGCACCTTTGGCTCTATTTTTTTCATAAATTTCGAGTTTTGTTTTTAATGTTTCGCTTAGTTGTTTCATATTGTCGTTGTTATGGGCTTTTTTTAACGAATTTTTTAATTGTTTTTTTAGTTTATATTCTTAAACTCGAATTATTTTAGCTTCAGTTTTGCTGAATTTTTGAGAGAAAAGTTTTATTTGTGTTTTTAGATGGTCCCATTCACTAGGTTTATTTTCAGAATGACCGAGGTTTTGGGAATATGTTTTAATAATGTTGGAAATGGCGTCAATGTACCTAATGTTTTTTAAATTTTTCTTATTTAGAATCCAGACCTCCCTTCCAATATCGATGTTGTTTAGCAAGATTTCAGCACATATTGCATTGTGGTGATCGGAAAAAGTCATTAGTTCGTGTTCGATGGTAGTAAGTTGACGCATGTGTTTACTGATATATAACCTGTCAAGTCGGGAAAATGTTAAGTGGTTTGTGGATTTATAGGTAAATTCTTGAGTATGTGGATTAAGAATACGCCATGTGTCTTCGACGTTTAAAGTTTTTAATAAATATTTAAAATCATTTGTTGACAAAAATTTTTTTCTGTTTAATTGCGGATAACGATCAATATCATCTAGGACCATATTGAAATCGCCTCCAAGTATTATAAATTTACCGTTCAAATTGTTTGTTTTGATTAATGTTGTTATATTTTTAAATAAATTTTTTCTTTTAATTTGGTCACTATAACTTGTACCGGATGTTCCGTAAACATTTATTATTAAAAAATTTTGGTAATCGTTTTCAATAAGGATGTAATTAAATTGACCTCCGTGGTCTTCATAGTGGTCTATTATTTTAAGATTATATTTTCTTTTGTTAATCAAGTTTATAGTTCCTCCAGTGTGTGATGTACCGTTGGAATAGTAGCCGGGATTATTCCAGAGTTTGATAAAATTTTCTGCATTTTGCGCATTAAGATGTGTTTCTTGTAGTAAAAATATATATTAATTCATGTGTTTAAAATTTGCGATAATTAAGTTTTGCTTATTTACGTCAATAAGTCCACAAATATTTGCCGAAAAAATTTTAATACTTCCCATTTTTGTTGAAATGAGGTTTATGATGAGTTTGTGGTTTGCTAATTGGTATGACTAAAAGAGTAGTTGTGTGAAAAGATAGGATGTAAAGATGTTCCGTTAAGTTACAAAAATACTTTATCGTAAAAAATAAATAACCCGTAAAAATAAATGATATAACAAAGAAAAAATATCTCATACCGCCTTTTGCCTTGGAAGTCTTTTCGGGTCGATTTTTTGAGGAGTCGGTGGCGGGGCGTTCCGCTTATAAATGTTTTTTTCGGCCTGGCGTATTTCGCCCTTTTCCATTTCGGACTCGATGTCACTGAATTCGTTTTGGTCTTCCTGTAGGTGTTGTTGTTTTCTTTCCTCTTTTTTTTGTTTTTTGCTTTTAACAATTTCAAATCCTGGTTCTGTTGTAATAATTTTGGGGATTTTGCTCTCGGATGGTTTTGGTGTGACATTTATTGGTAATTTGATAATGCTTTCAGTCGTTTGAGAATCAGATAGGGTATCGTTTGGTTCGTTTTTATCTTTATTAGTTTGTTGTTTTGGAGCAGCTTTTGTTGTTTGTATTTCTATGGGTTTTCGAGCGATACAGCGTTGTTGAGGCGGATGAGAGTACTGGCATGTGGAGCATAGGAAATATTTGCCTGCATAGTGTAGAGCTATTTTTATACCACCTATTTCAATAGAGTGAGGGATTTCTTCCAGTTTTACTTTTGGATTCACGCGAAAGAGTCGTCGACCGTCTTTCAAATGTCGGTCGAACTTGTACGTCGTGCGCGTTATTGAAAAAACTTCCTTGATATAGGGATCTAATTCTGTAAGAATTTCATCATCCTCGACGAGAGGGTCACACTTAATTTTAATTAGTAGACCTATGTTAGATCGAACTCTGAGGGAAACATTTTGATTGCTTCCAGATAATTGGAAGGTGGAATCGCTAACGCGTATTGCATTTTCTTTTTGTTTTAATTCTATCACCTAATTACCTTTCTTATTGTACGTTAAACTGTTAATTTTGTTTTTACCAATAATTAAAGATACCTTGTCGTAAATTTCTTGAGCTCTGATTTCTTGATACTTGTTGTTATAGCTCTCGCTCTGATCCATAAATACATTAAAATCAACAATGCATTCCATTCGGTTCGACTTCGATGATGTCACCTTTGCGTAACTCGCCATAGTGTAATAAATACAATCTCAAAGTGCAATATATTTACTTAAACAAATCTCCTAAATAAACTACTGCCAATCAGATTAAAAAAAAACCACAAGTAAGAACTATAAAAAGTTTCAGTATGTGTTTTTTTCCGTAGTGTGCTCGTTCTTCAAACGAAGGCCTTGTTCAACTGCCCATTTTTATAATTGTGGCTCTAAAATTTTGAACGCAACTTCTCTAGCGCAACACCCTATCGGTCTTTCATTGCAGTCGCGACAGAACGAATTAAAACTCTTTGATCGGGTTGGATGGCCTCTCCTATTTTATTAGTGACTTAGTGACTTGGTGAACGCGAGTGGACAGCTCATTTGAGTGCTTATAAGTGTTGAAAACGCTAGAGCTTTCGCCTACGACCATACCACGGTGAACACACCCGTTCTCGTCCGATCACGGAAGTTGAGCACCGTCGGGCAAGGGTAGTACTTGGATTGAGGACCGCCTGGGAACTCCTGGTGCCGTAGGCTTTTTTTACATTTCTCACCTTTCAATACTTAAATATGATTTTGCTCCATGTTAATGACTTCAATCAATAGTGCTAAGCTTTTTTTCAGTGTGCAAATATTCAGCTCTAAATATTCCATTATAACGGCAATCAAGTGAACCTCCATATTACCACGCATTCAACAAAATCTCTAAACTCTATTCTCCAAACAGCGCAATAAATTGCTACTTGAAAAAAATTAATATTGAATCTATATCTATCTACATCTATAGGCACACAAGTCTCACAACCGAAAAAGTACTTGGAAAACAAACTATATTCTACAAAATACTTCACTATTACTCATTCACGTTTAGATAGTCTTTAAAGTCTTGAATATGTTTTAAATCTCCAACATCATTGTTAATATATGTTTAAGACGCTAGAATATTCTTTGATACAAGTACTTTGTAACTGAAGTGCACAATATATTTTATAAGTAGGAATTGTAATAGACTAAAGAAAACAAAAACTTCTTACTTTAAGTCTTGTGTTTATGCAAAAAAACGACAAGTTCTCATTGCTTCATTTAAACTACAAACAGCAAGAGTTTCCCTCGTTTACAAATGAAGTTAATAACTAAGTGAATCTAATTTATTAGAAAAAATCCTTTATTATACTATTTGTCAAACATTTAAAAAAATACGTATCATTTGCATACAATTTGCAACATTAAAATAACGTATAAACCAAAAAAATTAAACTGTTAAAAAAATACATATGAGTCTCTGTTGAAAATTCGAAAAATCAGAAAACAAAGACATCAATCTGCAAATTTGTCGAACTGTCATAGAGACGAGCTAGAACAAAGGAAAGTTGTTTTTATTTGCATTTGTTTACCCAATCCCGAAACCCCAAAAATTCGAAAATTTGCTTCAAAATTTATTGATGTCTACCTTATTACACAGGGACTAAAAAGTTTCAGTATGTGTTTGGGTTAGGGTCAGGGTTAGGGTCAGGATTAGAGGTTAGGGTTAGGGTTAACTCTAACTCTAGGGTTAGGGTTAACCCTATGGGTTAGGGTTAATTCTAGACCCAAGGGTTAGAGTTAACCTTAACATAGGGTAGGGTTAGGGTTAACCCTAATCTAAGGTTTAGAATGTAGGGTTAGGGGTAACCCTAACCTTAGACCTTTAACGATTCAAAACGGTCTAAACGATTTCCTGTTTCTTTATCTGAAAAGAATTTGTTGCTAAATGTTAGGGGAGTCACGAGGCATTATTCAAACCAACTTTTGAATTTGCTGTGGCAGATAATTTGTCAGATACGACATTTATAAATACTGAAATCGAAGTTAAATGTTGTGTTTTGCAATTTCAACAAAAGTTTAATAGAAAGATAATTGTTCTGGTTTAAAATATACATTGGTATTTTGAAAAACGGATGCCTGAGCGTATTTATCTAACTGGGAAAATATCGAGCAACGGGCAGAGGGGACTTCGACTCCTTTTATTTACACAAAGTGAAAGTTAAAGGAGAAGATATTTATACTGGAAATGTGATCATTATCATAAGAAACTGGAAAATTCCGGGTTTAAATCCATTACCTCGCTATCGAAATGTTGACGGACTAACACTCCAATATAAACATGTTGGACAACCTGAGAACAATATTCAAACGCCAATTAACAACGAACCAGTCGAGGCGACTGAAGGAATTAAGGAAAAAAACACCAACACAGTAAGTGTAGATATTGACAGCAACATTGCCAGTGTTGAAATCAGCGTTCACAGTGATAAAATGAGTAAAATCATTAACAAGGATGTCATCCCAAAAACAAACCTAAAACAGAAATTTCCAAACAGTCGACGAGGAAAAGACTTGGACAAACAGAATCTGATACCCTTAAGAAGGTTACAAACACCACTACGTTGGAAAAAACAGATGAAAGGGAAGAAGATTTGTTTTGCAACGAAAGAGATGACAAAAGTTTTCATGAGAATGGAGATGACGTTTTGATTATTGATGAAGATTACAATTGCTAACAACGTGCGGAAAAAAATCGTAAGGTTTTTCCTTTTTTTTTTTCTTTTCCTCTTAAAATACTTTTTCTCTTATCATCTTAACTTTGACTCAAATTTGGAACTTTTTTATTCTAAAACTTAATTTTCTTTTTTCCCGCGAAACAAAACTCTTTTTTTCGATTTCTTTTTTTTTTTTTTTCATTCAATATGTCATTAATTATGCATGTCAAAATTTTGTATTTGCGCTTAAGCTGTCGTAATCTGTATTGTTGTAGTTCGCGCTTTTGTGTGAATTGTTATGGTCCAGTGCGTCAATCTGTTCGTAATACGTCAGTTAAATCGAAAACTCGTGATTTAGGTTTAAGTTTTAAATGTTTTTTTTTTTTATGTCAGGTCGTAAAAATATCATATTTATGTTTAAATTACACGAGTTTTCAAATTAGGAAAACTGATTTTCTCCATCATGACTATTAATATTTTAACGTGCAACATAACGGTCTAAACGACCAAGAAAAACGCGGAAATTTTTTTGGGTTTCTAAAAAAATCCTCCTTTGATCTCATCCTCCTACAGGAAACACACTCAGGACCTTCCACTGTTAAACAGTAGGGAGACGAATGGACTGGCGAGTCTATTCGGAACTCCGGTCCAAGTCATAACAGTTGCGGGGTAGCGGTTCTCTCGAAATCCAATATTTCTTTATGCAAACTAAAAAGGGACACAAACGTAAGAATATTAAATGTCATAATAAAAATTGACGAACACGAGAGGCAGGTGCTGAATATTTACGCTCCAAATGTGCCGAGAGAAAGGCGCCATTTCCTTGGCGACCTTGTTGATTTCTCGCAGGACAAGGACTTCCTGTCCTGTTGGCCGGAGATTTTAACATGGTCGAAAGCCTGCCTCTCGACACAGAAGGCACCAACAACGCTAAATATCACGCCTACGGCGTGGGCGAACTCGGGGTATTCCAAGGTAAGTATAACCTGGTTGATGTTTTCCGTTTAAAATTCCCAAACAAAAGAGAATTCACATAGCCTAAATTAGAAGGCAAAATGTAGACTCTTAATTAAAGATTGGCAAACTAGAAAACGGTCCTACAACTCAATTTTAAAAATGGTGGGACGACTGCAAACTTTTTGTTAGGGTAAAATTACAACATTTATCTATTCAGGAAAGTGCGAAAAACAAAAAAAAAATCAAAAGGATAGAAAACAAAATCAAACGAGAGCGACAAAACGCCAACCCGAATTTAAATAGCATCAAAGAAAAACGTGATGCACTTTTCTTGCGCCATTTCCCAGGAGCGTTTATTCGCACAAAGCAAAAACTAATTGAAGAAAAAGAAAAGCCATCAAAATTTTTGAACTGTTTAGAAAAAAACTCAACAGAGGAACAAGTCAATTACCGAAGTTCGCAAGAACGACGGCACATTGACGAGTGAACCTGGTGAGATTTTAAAATCCCTCTTTTTATATTACAAAAACATCTACACCAAAACAAATTTATGCAAAGACAGCCAAAACTATGTCTCGTTACACATCACTAAACATATGAGTGATGATGAAAACCAATTTTTAAACACCCGCGTAACCGGCGCGGATTTAAAAAAAGCCGTTTTTAAATTTGAAAACGGAAAATCTGACGGCTATGACGGACTTCCACCTGAATTTTACAAGACTTTTTGGCACATTTTATAAAAAGACTTTAAAGAGCTAGCTTACGAAATTCTTTTTGTAGAAAAAAATACCAGCCGCTCTATGAAAAAATCAATAATTTCACTAATTCCCAAACAAGGAAAACTTACTAAATGCAAAAATTGGAGGCCCATTTCTTTAATCGCCGCGATTACAAAATAATCACAAAAGCGCTGGCCCTAAGACTTGCAAAAGTAATGGGGAAAATTATAGAACCAAATCAAACTTGCCGAATTCCAGGTAGAACAATTTTCTCAAATTTACACTTAGTCCGAGATCTAATAGATTGCGCGGAATTTAAAAATCTATCTAGTTTCATTTTGTCGAAAGATCAAGAAAAGGCGAATGACAAAGTCGATCGTGCGTTTCTGCTGCAGATTCTCCAAAATTTAATCTCAGAGAAAACTTTATATCCTTTATTAACACCCTATATTCAGAAATTTCGGCATCTGTTCTGAATTGCGGTTTCTTGTCAGCCCCTTTCCCCACCGAAAGGCAAGTTAGACAAGGCGACCCTCTCTCTCTTTTGTTGTATGTCTTTGTCGCTGAAGCTCTCGCTTTGGTGGTCAGAGCGAACAGCAGAAATGAGGGATTCCCGTTACCAGAAACTCAGAAACCACTAAAAATACAGCAGTACCCAGACGATTTGAACTTTTTAGCCAGGGACGCAAAATCAGTCCACTTTTTTTTCGAAACAGCAAGACTCTTCGAAAAAGCAATTGGTTCAGTGATCAATGCCTCAAAAACCAAGGGTCTTGCCCTTAAGGGCTTCAATCTCAAAATCTACCCGGAATCGGACAAAATAAAGTGGACTAATAACACCGGTTTCAAAATTTTAGGTGTTACGTTTTACACCAGACTGAGTAATACTACCAATTTCGACCGGCTACTAACTCTAAACAAATTAGATAAAAAACCCAAGTTTCTGGGACTACGTACTTTGTCACTTAGGCGAAAGACTATGTTGAGAAATACGTTAGCATTGTAAAATGTGTGGTTTCTGGCAAACGTGTTGCCCGTTACCGAATGGTTAATAGAACGTTTGCACAGTGCCATTTTCAAAAATCTGTAGCAAAAGACCAATTTCAAACCGGTCAAAAGAGGCACCTTTTTACTACCCGTCAAAAGCGGGGGTCTCGGAATTTTATCACCGAAGGAGCAAAGCCTTGCGCCGCGCCTCTAAACACTCTTTCAACTGAAAGAATGCGGAGAGGATATCACCCACGATAATTACTACTTTTCAAAGTACTGGTTAGCAAGCTCTCTTATTAAATTTATAAACCAAAACCCAAGCTGGAACTTTTTGAAACAGAACAATTTT